CACCCTGCTAATTTTCGTCAACAACATTTCACAGTGCCTAACGACAGGCCGGCACTGGCTGCACACTACGAAGCCCCAGCTCTGTGAAGATCAGGGCAGGAGAAGGAGAAAAAAATTACAGTCTGCTGAATCTGTGTGAGCTAGTGGTGCAGCCCTGTGCAGGTTTACATCAGCGTGAATGAAGGGCACAGCCCCTTGTGGTGGGGTACGAGGAGATTCTCCTGGCTCTCGAAACAAGAGTTCCCTTCTTCATGTTTCTGATTTTGATTTTTTGATTATCTCCTTTTTAAAGATAGTGAAATATATAGCATTACTCTTAGCTATTTTAATTGCATTGTATCATGATAGCACCTATCAGCCTCAGCTCACATGAATTGCTTTGGGTACCACATGGAGTTATAGCACAATATAACATCCCATCTCTGCAACACAGGAGTTCAAACTTTAATAGGGCTACATTTCTTCTCTTAGTGGGAAAGCACAGCCCTGCATCTTGCTTCATTAGAGTATGAAGTGGTGAGCAGCAATCTGGCATTGCTGAAACAGCTCCTGGACCTCATCCTCTGCTGAGCTTCCATCTTACAGATGAAATATACCTTAAAAAACCCCCAACAAATCAAATAAAAATTGTCAATTATATGAGAGGCAGAGTGAGAAAAAAAAGGGATTATTGCCCCCATCTGAAACACAAGAATGCTTTATTCAAGGTAACCCAGAAATTCAGCAAAAGAATCACAATCACAGAATCACAGAATGTTAGGGGTTGGAAGGGACCTTGAAAGATCATCTAGTTCAACCCCCCTGCCAGAGCAGGACCACCTAGAGTAGGCCACACAGGAAAGCAAACAGGTGGGTTTTGAATGTCTCCAGAAAAGGAGACTCTGATCCCTGACATTATTATCCCCTCATGCTTAGTGCCTTCTTATTTCTACTCAAATACTGTAGTGAGGATGGAACATAGGTTTAATGTATCTACTGTTTTAAAGTTACAATTGAACCAAAGGAATTTCACTTGAAATGATAATACATTGTTCTTTCTAGGCAAATTTTATCAGTTGGTTGTCGTTTTCATAATCTCTTACAGGTAACACAGAGATATACACTTTCAGTGCTTTGACATTCTTTCTCTTACAACTATTTAAGTGTGAAAAGGAAAATGAGTCCTACTCAGAGTCCTGGTGAACCAGAGGTTAATAGTTTGCTTTTGAGCAGTTAAAACCCTTATAGCTATTGCAATCAATTTAATGGGGCCATATCCTTGCTAGTTTATCAAGACTAATTGGTAGCAGGCAGCTGATTATCCTGAAGGGTTGGTGGAAATAGATATGGAGGGCAAGGCAAGAGTGAGTGGTGTTAAGAGCTTTAGAAGATGAGAGGGGTGTCATTTCTAATGTGTTTCTAGATGCTGTCTGTATGAAGAGTTGTAGTTGCTGGTATCTCTTGCTGCTGTTATCCTCAGGAGAAATTTGCAATTGTGCAGTTATTGTCTATTTTTAATCTAGATAGTACCAGCTGGTGAGGGTGACAGTTATCCTTGCGGGGCTAGCAGGAGAATAAAGGAAGTTGTGCA